CTCATTCCTCATTATGTTCTTACTGCCATTTCTATCCCACAATTCCTCCTTAGTCACCCATGGTCTGACTTTACTTAACCTCTTTCACAGTCTTTTGCCTTGTCTTTAATCAGTTCAAATTATACAAATGTATGCCACACACACAGTCCTCTACCCTCAATTCCCTTGTTCCCTTGCCTGCCAGAGGCATCATGGTGATGCTACAGTGCATACAGCGCTGGGCCTGGAGTCAGGACAACTTGAGCTCAAATCTGATCTCAGGCATTTATCAGCTGTTCAACCCTGCGTAAGTCACTTAACCCCTGTTTGCCTCAGTTTCCTTAACTGTAGGATGGGGATAATAACAGTGCCTACCTCACAGGGTTCTTGTGACTCTCAAGATAGGTTGCTTTAAAAATACACACACACCTCTAGCAAGTGCCTGGCACACAATAGGGGCTTTATACGTGCTTCTCTTCCTTTTCCCTTCCCCCCATCTACTTTCAAAACTGGAGATCAACTGCCTTTCACCATTTTTTCACTCCTGAGGAAGAAGCATCACTCTTTATTGCCAAGGCCAGCCTTTCCATTTGTGTTCTCTGGATCCTGTCTGTCTCCGCTTGTCCACTCTGGAAGCTCGATTCAGTGATCATTCTTTCCCTCTCTCTCTTACCTCCAGTCTCCACCTTTCTGCTGACCTGGTCCCCACTGTCTGACTCTTGACTCGCCATACCCCTAGTTAACACCCATGTATGTCCTCTGTTAACATCTATTAATCACCTATCAAGCACGATACTTTGCTCTCCTATTGGAACAAAGATCAAAAAAAGTCCTCAGGGACCTCAAGGAGTTTATATTCTACTGGGGGAATACACATGTACACTAGTGAGTTAATACAAAGTAATTTCAAGAGAGTACAAGTGGTAAGATGAGAGTGGGGGTCACAGTAGATCCACTGAAGGATTCTGGGGTAAAAGTTAAGGGCCCCAGTCCAACCATGGGGGACCTCCTATGCAAAGGCATGAGGTAGAGGATGGAAGGTTATGTACGGGGAACAACTCAGCTATCAAGACCATTTTGACACAGCCATGACACCACTTTGGCAGCTGGATCATGGAAGGGTTGAAGAGGGGACACTTGAGGCAGGGAAACCAGTTGGGAGGCTATGGCAGTGACCCAGATGTGATAAGGGCAGGGCCTAAATTAGGGTAAAGTCAATGGGATCAGAGAGGAGGACATGAGATATTGTGGAGGGAAAACTGATGAGATTTAGTCATTGATTAGGGAAGCTACGTGGCACAGTGGATAGAGCACCAGGCCTGGAATTAGGCAGATTCATCTTCCTGAGTTCAAATCCAGCCTCAGACACGAGCTGGATGACCCACGGCAAGTCACTTAACCTTGTTTGCCTCAGTTTCCTCATCTATAAAATGAGTTGGAGAAGGAAATGGCAAACTAGTACAGTATATTTGCCAAGAAAACCCCAAATGGGGTTACGAAGAGTCGGACACTGAAAAATGACTAATTAGAGCCATTGATTGCATATGAAGGTTAAAGGGAAAAGGTCAAGGATGACTCCAAGGTGGTCAATTTGGGTGATGCAAGGATGGTGATGAAGCAACAAAAATAGGGAAATTTAAAGCAGGAATGGGTTTAGGGGAAAACCAGTTCTATTATTGTTGAATGAAGATGCCCACAGGAGACTATCCATGTAGATATGTCCACCAAGCATGTTAATGAGTGGAGCTCAGGGGAGAGATGAAGTCAAAGTCAGCAAGCATTTATTAAGTACCTACTCTTTGGCAGGCATTCTGTTCAGCACTGGAGACAGAAATATTTTATTTGTATGTATGTATGTGAACGTGTGTGTCCATGTATATGGATACATACATACATACACATATAAATAAAACGTATGTATTATGTATATACACACATTATTGTTCAGTTGTGTCCAGCTCTTTATGACCCCGGCCAGCTATCCGTGGGGTTTTCTTGGCAAAGATACCAGAGTGGTTTGCCATTTTTCTTCTCCAGTTTTATGCAGGCAGGGGTGAAGTAACTTGCCCACGGTCACACAGCTATTAAGTACCTAAGGTCAAATTTGAACTCTGGTCTTTCTGACTCCAGGCCCAGTGCTCTATCCACCATGCCTCCTAGTTGTACGCATGCACACACACACACACACACACACACACACACACACACACAGAATATATGGATCTGAGAGTCATTGAGAAAGAGATGGTAATCCCATCAATGGAAGCTGATAAAGTCACCCAGAAAAAGAAAAGGAGAGAAAAATTATTATAATCCAGCAATGATAACTGTAAAGGAATAATCAGATGGATAAGAAGACAACCAAGAAGTCAGCCTCAGTTTAATCATTTCTAAAAATGGGAATAATCAGAACACCTACCTCCCAGGGTTGTGGTGAGAAACCAATCAGAAAACACACATCTTACTCCCCTTTGTGGACTTTGTTCCTCCCAAATTGGACTACTGGCTGTTTTTCAAACTGGCCACACTATCTCCTGACTCATGTGACATTTAAAAAGTTTGAGAGAAGCTAGGTGGCGCAGTGGATAGAGCACCAGCCCTGAAGTCAGGAGGACCTGAGTTCAAATCCAGCCTCAGACCAAACACTTTATACTTACTAGCTGTGTGACCCTGGGCAAACCACTTAACCACAACTGCCTAAAAAGTTCGAAAGACAATTTCTGGGTAATTAATCATTTTATTAATAATGGTAGCATATTAACCAATGAAATAGGTCGGTGACAGCCTCAAATGCCAAAGACCTCTTCATGGCTGTGGGCTCACAGTTTATAAGCCCTTGGAAGAGTGGGTGTTCCTGAGGGTAGCAATCAACTCTGATTGGTTAACAATGAGAGAGAATGAATATTATGAGAGGTGGACCTGTTCTAATGAGAGGCTAGGGGACCTAACTTTGATCTTGTCATTTACTTCCAAATCACCACCAGGATCTATATGCCCCACCCAAACCAGAGCAGAACATTATGGGTGGGAGTTTCACTTTAGATTAAATTCTTTGTAAAGTTGGGTGGGGTAGCAATACCTAGATTGAGGAGAATGTTAATCCTCTCTGCTCTCATCAGTCCTGTCCTTCAGAGGCTGAACCTTGAAATGAGGACTTTCGAAAAAAGGGGGAGAACTCTGGATCTCCCCAAATCACCAATTAGTAATAACATTTACCTTCACAGAAGTTATTCACCTTGCCTAAAATTCACTCCCTTCTCAGCCTCTCAGAATCTTTGTCCTCCTCCAAGACTTCCTTCAGATGCCACCTCCTCTATAAAGTCTTCCCTGAAGTGGATGAACATATAAGCGCTTACTATGTGCCAGGCACCGTGATAAGTGCAGGGGCACAAATAAAATCTAATGGGAAAACAACACATAAAAGGAATCTAAAAGGCAAAGGGTGGTGAGGGGGATGATACTCATAATGGGGCACGGTGGAGAAAATCCAGAGAGTCAAGAGAGACCCCTGGAGAGGAGTCACAAGATGGCTGGCCTGGGCAATTTCCTTAAAATGGCATCTCTGGGAGGAATTAGCCAATCAGAGAAAGGATCCATGGGGACAGAGAATAATTCCTGTGGAAGAAAACCAGGTGTGGAATGGACCACCAGGGTGAAGGAGCTTCTGTGGCATGGTAGAGAAAGTCTGGGGAGGCATGAAGACATGGCTGGCCTGAGCACACTCCTTAAAATGAGGCTTGGGGAAGAACCAGCCAGTCAGAGAAAGGGGCCATAGGAGTGGAGTGAACTTCTAGGGTGCAGAGGTTTTTCACCAGCTTCCATACGCAAGCCATCACTTGGCACAGCAAAGGTGATGCCAGCTTTCCTGTCACTTTTAATATAGAGACTCAAAACTTCTGCTCTGACTTTTAACATCTCTGTGTGAAGTCTGTCACTAAGCACCCAAAAGTTCACATGATTAAAACTTCTTGTGAAGCCAACTTCATTTGGTGCAGAACTGTATTTCTCTTTTATTTAATTTTATTTAGAAGCAGCTAAGTAGCACAGTGGATATAGAGCATTGGGCAAGCAGTCAATAAGAACTAAATTCAAATCCAGCCCCAGACACTAGCTGTGTGGCCCTGGGCAAGTCATTTAATTTGTCTGCCTCAGTTTCCTTATCTATAAAATGGGGAGAATAACAGCACCTACCTCCCCGGGTTAAGAGAATATATGTTGAGATAATATTATTGTTGTTTGTTAACTAAATGTTAATTTGTTATTAACTATTGTTAAGTAAATGTTGTTAATGATGATGATGATGATGTTTGTGCAATGAACTCCATTATAAGATGTGAGTGTGACTGAATGAAAGCCAGCAGGAAGGGGAGATGTCACAGGTTTGTTTTTTTTTTCCCACTGGACAGGGAGTTGAGCCTAAACGAACAAATTCACACAGACCACACTCCTAGACTAATAAGACAACTCCCTCTCAAAAAAAAAAAACAAAAGGGGCAGGGGAAAGAGGTAACCATTTCCCTGAGAACGGCACAGAGCACAGTTTCCCCCAGAGTAGCTTCTGGTTGTGGAGGTTGTCAGACCTGGTCTTTATTGTCAAATAGAAATAGTCAAGTCTCATTATTACTCAAAGCCCAGTATCCAGTCCCCTGGGAATTAAAAAAAAAAAAGTTTATATTATTAGGTTTAGAAGGGATACAATATTTGAAATGTCTGATCTTTTGAGCTGTCTGGATTTTAATTTCATGATCCTCAATGGGTCCCTCACAGGTCTTTTCCCCATTCATTGTCAGTTTTATGCACAGATGAACTTCTTGAATTTTCAAAGAGCCGGAGACCAAGCTCTCCTCCTTGACATGTGGGCAGAAATATGCTGGGCTCCCATCTGAGCAACTGAGGATGTTGGGATCTTTCCAAGCAATCCCAGAACGTTCAGATGGAAATCCCAAAGGTCCTCAAGGGCAGTCCCTCCCCATTCCCAAAACAGCATGCTCATTTGTCAGTGATTAAGTCACCCATGCCTCTATGACTACTGAAATGACCTTTTTATTGTTTTTAACATAAAACAGCATTTTCATTGAAGCATTTATTTGGGGGGAAAAAATCACATGGATTCAGCAAACAAGTATAAATAAAAACCAGAAGGCCAAATGTCAGATTCCCCATCTATGGCACTTACATTAGTTCCAGTTGGTCCCTCTTCCATTTTTTTCCCCAGAGTAGTACCACCATCAAATTTAATTTTTATGAGTCCATGAGATGTTGGGTTATTCATCAATGCCTTCATGATAATGGTTTTAATCTTCCTCTCATGTGCCCCATTCCTGTTCCTGTAGGATTCTAAGCTACTACAATTTCTTCTCTCAACTCCCCACCTATTTTTATCCTCTGTCTCCACTTCTCTCATCCTATTTAGACTGCTACATATTGGCATGGACCAGGTCACCTGACCCCCTCCCCATCCCCTCCTCACCCCCAACAGAGACTTTTCACAGGAAGTATTGGGAGACACAGGACCCAAGTTTGAATCTTGATTCTGCTGTTTACTAGCTGGGGGACACCAGGCAAGTCGCCTACTCTCTTGGACCTCAGTTTCTTCATTCTGTAAAATGAAGGAGTCCAACTAGATGATTTCTAAGGTCCCTTCCAGTGGTAGCTCTATGACCTTACGACAGACAAGTCACTTTAAAATAGGAAGAGAAAGATAACAAAAATTTAATTGAGGTGGAGGGGGCAACAGCAGAGAAGCTAAGTTTACAGCGGGAGTCAAGCCAAGGGGTCGTAAATCCTAATGGGGAAGATGGCGTGGACTATTTCAACAACAGCAGTCACCTCCAGTCTCTCTGAAGGCTTTCCATAGTAGAAGCTAACAGCACCTCTGTGGGATGGGATATCCATCCACTGGACAAACACGAGCGTTGAGTCCCAGGGAAAAGTGACTGGCTAGAGACACGGGCTGAGCCAGGAGAAGACCCAAGACCAAATCTTCTAGAGCCAGAAGACCCATGACCAAATCTTCCAGAGCTTTGGCTAGTAGGTGCTTAATGACTGCTGATAGATTGGCTACATAGGAGCTAATGAAACCTGAACCCTGAATGGTGGTGGTAAGAAGATTGGTAAACCTTTTCACAAATGTATTCTATTACTATTGTTACTACAAAATCATAATCCCTGAGGCTGGAAATCTGAAAAATTCAAAGGCAAGCTTACAGTAAGGAGTTGAACATGGCCAAACATTAACCTGGGATTCATCCCACAGGTAAGGAAAGGCTGCTTTGGTTGCTGGGAAACAAGAATGATTTTTTTTTCTCAGTGGGGGTTGGTTGTAACTGTCCTTGCAAATCTGTCCGGGTGGTGAGTCGATGGTGGTATACTCCTGTTAACGAGGAGGCAGGGGCTGCATATGGAGGGCATCATAGGTATCCTTGGTGGCTGAGCTGAGGCCCTGGAGAAAGCAGAAAGAGATGGTGAATAGAACTGCATTCCCTAGATCCCTGTCTCCCCAACCTGCAGAAGCCTGGTAAGGCAACTCAGGACTCTGATACTTAAAAGCATTTGTGGAAACTGTTGGAACAGCTCGGGGTAAGGGGAGAAGGTGGGGAGGAGGGAAGCCCCTGGAGACTGTATTTGAGTTGCCAACAGGTAGGTTGGGTCTCATTTGTAAAATCACTTATAGCTAGTTGCATAAATTAAGCACTTGACTATAATAATACTGCCTTTGAAAGCTGCCATTTTCTTGGGGTTTTTTTTTCCTTCCCTTTCTCTTCTCTCTTCTTTCTCTTCCTCCCACTCTTGTTGCCTCTGAGAGACAGAAGGGAGGACTAGTCTACAGATATCTGATGTTGTCTAGAAAGAGGCAGCTCTGTAGTAATGTAGGGGAAGGAGCTTGATCTTGAAGTCAGATTCTGACACTCAGTAGCTGTGTGACCTTGGATCTCCCTGAGATCCATTTTTAAATCATGGAAATTGGAAATACCCATATATGCATCACCTGCTTCAAAGGGCTGCTGGGAAGACAGCTCATTGTCTGCCATGAAGTACTATATAAATACATGTGAGCTATGCCTGTGGAGTCCAGATAGCTCAACCTCAGTTGGTAGAGAAGACTTTTAAAATCATAGGCTCATAGACTTAACACTTGAAGAGAGCTTAGATTTCATATAGTTGGGCCCTCCCATTTTATAGATGAGGAAACTGAGGCCCAAAGAGGTTGTGATTTGACCAAGGTTACCCAGGAAGAACCAGGATTTAAATCCAAAGATCCTTCCACTGCACCATGAATTCAGATCTTAGTTTGATAAAATTTATGGAGCTTTTGTTTTGTTGTTCAGTTGTGTCCTACTCTTTGTGACCCCCCCATGGACGGATGGTATGCCACCCTTCTGTCCTCCACTATTTCTCAAAGTCTGTCCAAGTTCATGTTTGTTGTTTGCATGACACTATCTATCCATCTCGTCCTCTTCCATCCCCCTTTCCTGTTGCCTTCAATCTTTCCCAACATCAGGGTCTTTTCCAATGAGTCCCATCTTCTCGTTTTGTGGCCAAAATATTTAAGCTTCAGCTTGACCTTCCAGTGAATAGTCTAAATTAATTTCTTTAAGTATTGACTGATCTGATCTCTTTGCTGTCCAAGGGACTCTCAAAAGTCTTCTCCAGAACCACAAATTTGAAAGCATCACTCTGTGACACTCGGCTTTCCTTATAGTCTAGCTCTCTCAACCATACATTACTATTGGAAAAACCACAGCCTTGATTATATGGACCTTTGTCAGCAAGAGGACATCTCTGCTTTTCAGTATGCTATCCAGATTTGCCATAGCTTTCCTTCTAAGGAGCAAGCGTCTTTTAACTTCATGGTGCCGTCACCATCTTCACTGATCTTTGAGCCCAAGAACAGAAAATCTGACAGTTTCCATTTCTTCTCCCTCTATTTGCCAGGAAGTGATGGGACCAGTTATTGTCTTGGAGTCAGACAACTTAGGATAAAAATTTCTGCTTTGACACTTCCTAAGTTATGTGACCACAGGCAAATCATTTAAACTCTCTGAGTCTTCATTTCCTCGTTTGTAAAAATAAAAAGAAGACTGGATTCAACAATCCAGCTTTAAGTAATCATAATAACAACAACAATAATAAAAAGCATTCACATAACACTTTACGGTTTTCAAATGTTTTACAAACATTCTCTCATTTGATTTTCACAAGAGCCCTGGGAGGTGGGTGCTATTATGATTGTCATCTTATAAATGAGGAAATGGAAACTGAGAAAGGATGAGTAATTTGCCCAGGGTCACATAGCTAGTGGGTGTCCAAGGTAGGATTCAAACTCAGGTCTTTCTGATTGCTAGTCCAACCATAGCCACTGTGCCACCTAGCTCTAGTTGCGATCCTCTGAGTTGTTTGTCTAATCTCTGACCAAACCGATGCCCACATTAACAGAGCTATAACTAGGGTAGGGAGATTGGTACTTTGCCCCAATGTTTCATGGAGGTGTTTCCTACCCTGCTCCCCGTGTTGGCACTGGTGATAGTGTTAACCTGGGGGTGTTTCCTCACCAGTCATCAGCAACCCTGGCAGGTGACTTTAGACAAGTAAGTTGGCCTCACCTTCCTTAAATGTAAAATGAAAGTGTTGGACTGACTGTATGACCGCTAGATATCTTTCCAACTTGGAATGTATGTTCCCTTACCTTCCTAGTCTTAGTACACCTTACTCACACAGAACCACAGCCACAGCCACACACACACACACACACCCACACACACACACACACACACACACACACACACACTCCAATCCAATGACGCTGGCCTTCTTGCAGATCACAAACAAGACTCTTCATCTCTTGGTTCTGGCCATTTTCTCTCTGACTGTCCCATGCCTGGAATGCTCTCCCTCTTCATCTCCACCTCCTGGCTTCCCTGGCTTCCTTTAAATCCTAACTAAAATCCCATCTTCTACAGGAAGATCTCTCTTAATTCTAGTGCCTTTTATCTATTGATTATTTCCTATTTATACTGTATGTATCTTGTCTGTACCTAATTGTTTGCATATTGTCTCTCTCATTAGACTGTGAGCTTCTCACGGTCAGGAACTGTCCTTTGCCTGTCTTTGTATTCCCAGCTGTTTAGCACAGTACTAAGGAGGTACATAGTAGGTGCTTAATAAATGTTCATTGACTGAATGACTGTCCTTCCACATGACAATCCTTCAAATTTGAAGATGACTTGGACTTTTCTTCTACAGTCTAAATGTTCCCAGTTCCTTTAACCATTCTCGGGTTTCCTAGTTAGCCATTTTGGTCATTTTCCTGTGGATTCTCTCTGGTTTGTCAATTCCCTCTTGAAAAGTGGCACTTGTGTGGGCACATATACATACACAGAGTGCTTTGCATGTAATATGTACTCAGTAAAGTGTAATGTGATCCAACCTACAGACTCCCACAAAACTGTACTCTCTGTAGTCACAAAGATCACTAAGAAGGCTGAATGAGCATCTCAGTGATGACCTAGTACATCCACTAAACTAGAACTCCAACCCCTCCCCAACCCCCCCAACACCCTAAGATGCTGGGAACAGAAGCCTCTTCAGGAGGGGCCACATCTGTGGCAGTTAAAGTGACAGTGAACTAGAGTGAGGCCATGATCAGAATCAGTCCCTACCTGGTACAGGACATCATTCCCTTTGCCTCGTCTTCGCTGGTTCTATGAAAGTGAACCAAGAAAAAGATTATTGACACAGACTTCCCACCCAAGTGATGCTCTTGTGGGCTATGTTTCTTGAAGGCTAGAGCCTGGGTGTCATCTGGAAGAATCCCCTCTCCCCTCTTTGGATAAGGTAGCTGCATAGACCTCTACCTCTATAATGGAAGGTATATCAGCTTCCCAAGGGTTAATTGGCCAGTGCTTGGGTTGACCTGGTATTCTGGCTGATGAAATTCCAAAGAAGTAGACCACTCTCCAGGGACTGGAAAAGTTTTTGTTACACAGAGGCACTCACCGGATGTGGCATTTACTATGACAGGGTTTGCCCTATTTATGTGCCAAGTATATAGACAATCAACCCAGATGTTTAAGAGTGTGTCTTTTTTTAATTTAGGAAGGCAGGTTCTAGGTACATGTGATTGGATCTTACAAGTGCAGAATTCAGTGGATTCATGATATATATAAATATAAATGTTCTATATACACATATACATACATACATATATACGTATATATATATATACACATAGGTAACCTGAAAACCACCATGTGCATTTATTTGGGGCATTCGTGACAGGCTTCAACTTTGGGGACTTTCTTGGTAATTTCCTTAGCTAATACTCCTCCAGGCCCTAACAGAGAGAAAATAATGGCAGTACTCACCTCTCCTTTCATTCCAATCTCACTGTATGCTTCTGCCATCTTGTCTTTCTGCAATGCCTGAGCAGCAATAGTGTTGGGAGGAGGAAGGAGAAGAAAGAAAATTCTTAACATGAAAAATGTCATTCTCCTCCTTCCCAAAGCCCAAACCCTAGCTCGGAGAGCACTTCACAGTTTACTTCCTCTTGCTTCCTTCACCATTCACTCTTTTCCTCCTCAGCCTTGTCTTTGAGGTTTCTCTGCTTGGTCAGCCCTTCTCACTCTGAGCCAAGCTCAGCAGAGCAGCCCAGGTAAGATGCAATGAGACTGAAGTCTCATATCCTTTCCTCCACATTACATTCATCTGTACACCACCAAATCTCTAAACATCCTTTCTAGGCTGGCTACTTCTTTGGCTCAGCCCTCTGGAGCCTTCTCTACCAGTCCTGAACTTGCAAGAGGCCTTTCTTGGTCCCCTTGTAGAGCTGCAAACTGGTCCAACCATTCTAGATAGTAATTTGAAATTGTGCAAAGAAAAGTGACTAAACTGACCATAACTTTTGAGCCAGTGATTCCCTTATTGGGCATATATCTCAAGGAAGTCAAACACAGAAACAAAAGTCCCGTAATTAGCAAAACAATCATGGCAACCACTCTTTTTAGTAGCAAAGAACTGGACACAAACTGGGTGCCCATCACGTGGGGATGGCTGAAAAAAATATGGCATATGAATGTAATAGAATATTGTACGGTAAGAAATAATGAACATGAGGAATTAAATTAGGATAAACTGATGTAGAATGAAATGAGCAGAACCAAAAGAATGCTATTATGAGCTAGTGAAAACTGGTTTGACTGATTTGGTCCCAGCCCCGTGGATGCATGTGTGACGTCGAGACTGAGCATTCTCATCCCTACCTCTCCAGCTTCTTGATGGCTAGCATGATTAGAATTAAGCTTCCTTCATTCCTCACTCACTAGACAATTCAGAAAATGCCCTCATTTCACCCATCCAGATTATCCTATTATCTTGCCCGATGGATGAAGTTAACTAATAGTGCCATCAGCTTTTTATCTAAATTTTGAGCCTCAAGGTACTTTGGGCCTTGACAGCAGTGCAAGAACCATTGCCTAGTTGCACATCTGAAGCTATCCCTACTATGTGCTGCCCTCAGACTATGGGCCACACACCACGATTTTTCCATTGGCATCTGTTCTCCTCCCCTATGAATGGCAGTTAAGTCTTATTAACTGCTCTCCCTTTGTGGCTTTGTAGCTCTTTCTCCGACCCACTCCCCCCTCCTCCAATACTGCAAACATACATGACTTCAATGATGTAAATGAAAACATCACTAAAAGGGAGTTGAATTCTAAGTAACTGAAAACCCAGTAAAGGCCTCCTGAGAATGGATAATGAAACATATATCTCCCTGAGGGCAGAGAGGCTGGGGACTATTAGGACTGGATCTTTTATACACTGTCACTGTATTGGGCATTTTTGCTTAATTATTTTTGTTTGTCCTAAAGGAGGGTTAAATCATTGGGGGAGGGGGAGAGGAAGGATTAAAATGATTGTGATATGTTTGAAAGGCATAAATAAAATGTATTTTAAATGTTTGTTGAATTGAATTGAATTCAGCTTTCTCCAAGCCCTGACCCATCTTTTCTCCACATGCCCTCCCCTTACAATCCCATCCCTCTGCCCTAAAAAGCACACTAGGTGCCCATCAGTTGGGAATGGCTGAAAAAAAATATGGCACATAAATGTATGTTACTTCTCTCTACTCACATTATACACAGTTTCTTGAGGATGCTTCCTTCTCTGTCAAGAAAAAAGAACAAAAAAAAGTCAGAAGTGGTGAGAGGTCTTTAGTACACAGAGGGTGAATACAACCGATGATTGTATCTTTAGTACATGGGATTGTTTCTGCCTCTTTGGGATGGGAAGCCCTTGCTTCTCCATAGACTCTTATCTTATCTTATCTTAGTGATCATCTTTAAAGGGACACTGAACTGGCAAGTGGGGTTAACCTTGCCTCTCCATACCCCGTCATCAGACACATATGATCTGGACTCAAGCTGCTTTGACTCTGGTCACATCTCCATTTTTCTCTCTCCTCTTTGAAGGAGACCCTGTGTTGGTGAGAGGCACTCAAAGAAAGCACCTCCCATGACCCGGTTGACTGGAGAAAGCTCACCTTCAAAAACAGTTTTAGAGGACTCCATGGATGACAGATCCATAACAGGTTACTAATGGAAATGGGGGTGTTGGGGAACATCCCTTACCTGGAAAGCTCCTGTTGTTCCCAATTCCTTTTAGGTTATGTGAATCCTTATTTCTGCCTCCTGGCTTTCCTGGCTTCCTTCAAGCCCCAGCTACCATCCCATCCTCTGCAGGAAGCTTTTCCCAATCCTCCATTCTAGTGCCATCTTTCTGTTGATTATTCCCTATTTTATAACTTGTTTGTACATAACGGTTTGCACATTGACTCTCCCATTAGACTGTGAGCTCCTTGAAGGCAGGGACCGTCTCTTGCCTTTCTTTGTATCCATGTGCCTGGCCCCTGGTAGGCACTTAATAGACATTTATTGACTAACGGCTAAGTTCCATGAGACCAGGAAATATGTCTTAGTCAAATGTTGTATCTCCTTCAGGGACTAGTAAGAGGCTGGTTTGTTGCTACTTTTGTTGTTCAGTCATTCAGTTGTGTCCGGCTCCTCATGACCCCATTTGGGGTTTTCTTGGCAAAGATAGTACAGTGGTTTGCCATTTCCTTCTCCAGCTCATTTTACAGATGAGGAAACTGAGGCAAACAGTTACATGACTTGCCCAGGGTCACACAGCTAGTAATCGTCACATTTGAACTCAGGTCTTCCTGACTCCAGGCCTGATGCTCTATCTGCTGTGTCACTTAGCTGCCCTGATCAAAGGATCAGCATTCAAGTCTAGATATATCACTTTTTACTTGTGACACCTTGAGCAAATCCGACCTCTCTGGGCCTCAGTTTCTTCAACTGTAAACTCAGTTAGACTAGATGAACTCTAAATTCCCTTCTAGCTCTAAATTGATGATACCTATGGTTCTTCAGCGCCATTGCTAGAGAAAGAGCCCTGGAGTGGATGGAACTGTGGTCTGACTCAGTGGGACAATCGTAGGTCAAGAGCCACTTGTACACCCAACTCAACCTCAAAGCATATTAGTGCTATTATCCCATGTGGTCATCCTCTGTATTCTAGGGAAGAGGAAAGAGAAGCCATACTCCTTAGGGCACATCGATGTTTTCTCCCTGTGGTTGTTTACACCTTTACCCCTTGTCTCCACCCCCAGTTCTCCCCACCCAGTGTGAGATTAGCATCAGAGAGAACACCTTCAGAGTGACATCCAGGAAACCAGCAAGGGGCTGGGTTACCAGATGTAACAAGGTTCTACACAGGAGTTCTTGTATGTGAGATCTGGGGGTGGATGCAGGAAGGGTTTCTTATCAAGAAAAATGGGATATACAGAATGGGGGTGGGATGGGGCAAGCAGAAGGGTCCCTGCCCTACCTATGGCTAGAAATGTGAAAAAAAAAACCAAAACCTATTCATTTGGAATTAATGTCAGAAAACCTCCTCTCCCCATCAGAAAACCTCCCCTCCCTGTTGTAACAGCTCTTGGAACCTAGTGCTTGGCTGGAACCAATTTCACTGAAAAGCTCAGCAATACCACTGACCATCTATGTGACCTTGAGCAAGTTTCTTGGCCTTGCTGAGTCTGTTTGGCCATCTGTAAAATGGGAATGATTTATAAACCATAATATGAAATGAGCTGACATTTACATAGTGTTTTACAGTAGGAAAATCGTTTTTTGTATGTTAACTCATTTGATCCTTGTAGTAGTCCTACATGGTAGGTGTAGTATGATCTCCATTTTGCAGACAAGGAAACTAAGGCTGAGCTTAAGTGACTTACCCAGGGTGACACAGCTACCAACGGTCCAAGTTGAAATTCTAACCAACGTCTTCCTGACCCTAAGTGCAGTGGTCTACCCACTAGACCATACTACCTCCAAAGAACTTTATATTTGGAGACAGGAGACTTTGGTTTGATACTTTGGTTTGAGCTGGGCCTCAGTTTCTTTTTCTGTAAAATATAGGAAGGGTGTATGGGGAAATGGCCTAATGTTTCTTATGTCCCTTCTGGCTCTAAATCTAAGATCCTATTCTCCTTGCTGGTCCTCACACACAAAACTCCGTCTCCTGATTCCAGGCATTTGCTCTGGCTGCACCCCGCTCTCCTTCCTCGCCTCTACCTCTTGGCTTTCAGGGCTTCCTTCCAGATTCGCCTCAATCCCACTTTCTACAAGAGGACTTTTCCAATCCCCTTGCTGCAAGTCTTTTGCCAGCCCTCCAAGATCACTGCTGCCTTTATCTTGTATGTACACAGTTCTTTTGTTTTGTTTTGGTTAGGCAATGGGGTTAAGTGACTTGCCCAGGGTCACACAGCTTGTAAGTGTTATCTGTCTGAGGCCACATTTGAACTCAGCTCCTCCTGAATCCAGGGTCGATGCTCTATCCTCTGCGCCACCTACCTGCCCCTATATAGTTGTTTGCATGTGGTCTCGCCCGTGTTTGATGAGAAAGATCCACTGACCCTCCCAGAAGCATACTCGGGCATCACAGGCGATTTCTTAGGAGACAAACATGGCAGCTGTAGTCTTTTCTCTCAAAACAGTAGGCTCACTTCTCCAGCATACACGAGCTGCTGCCCTTATGCTTTTTGCCACTGACCCTTTATCCTTATGTCCCCAGTTCATGGGGCTGCCAGTGTCTTCTTCAAGAGTCTTCAAGTCTAGGTGGCACAGTGGATAAGAGCACCAGCCCTGAAGTCAAGACGACCTGAGTTCAAATCCAGCCTCAGACCAAACACTTGACACTTACTAGCTGTGTGACCCTGGGCAGGTCATTTAACCCCAATTGCCTAAAAAGAAAAAAAGAGTCTTCAAGCTACCAGAATTAAACACTGCTTTCTCCCAAACAATATATGCTCCCCCTCCAACAACAACAAACAACAGAAATCTGGGCTGTATGGGACAGTGGATAGAGCCCAGCCTGGAGTCAGGAAGACCCAACATCAAATCTGGCCTCAATTACTTATTAATTGTGTACCTTGGGCAAGTAACTTAACCGCTGTTTGCCTCAGTTTCTTCAACTGTAAAATGGGGATAATAATAATAGTACCTACCTCCCAAGGTTGTTCTAAAGATCAAATGAGATAATAATTATGAAGCACTTAGCACATGGCAAGCGCTGTATGAATGTTTGCTCTCTTTATTATTTGTATAAATTTCCATTTTAATTTATATAAATGTGCCTCTTATGTATAGAAAATCCTAATTCTCAGTACGTCAATCAGTTGATAGAGTATTTTTAAGTGCCTACTATGTGCCAGACACTATGCTAAATGCTGGGGATTCAAAGAAAGGTGAAGGATAGCCTCCGCCCCCATGGAGCTTACAATCTAATGGGGGAGAGAATAAGCAGAAAACTAGGTACAAACAAGACATATACAAGATAAGTTGGGGGTAGTTTCAGAGGGAAGGAATTAAGACTAAGGAGGACTGGGAAAGGATGCAAAATAAATGACTCTAGGCAGCCTTTAGGAAGGGTATTTAAACCCATTACTGAAGAACACTGGAAGAGAGAGGGTCTACCAATGGTTGCAGGGGTGGGGGACCTGTGGCCTCGAGGCCACATGTGGACCTCTAGGTCCTCAAGTGTGGCCCTTTGACTGAATCCAAATTTCACAGAACAAATCCCCTTAATAAAAGGATTTGTTCTGTAAAACTTGGACTCAGTCAAAAGGCCACACCCCAAAGGCCACATGTGGCCTCGAGGCTACAGGTTCCCCACCTTTGGTGAAAAATGAGCCAGATTAGATCTCTCCAGGGTAGATCTCTCCAATCAAGGCCATGACATGGCTGGGGAGAGAAGGCCCCAAATGGGGCCTGTCCCTGTAAAGTCATGAGCCTATGTAGTAGACCAGCCCAGACTACCACAAGGACAAAGCTTTGATGCTCACCAAGGAGCACACCGGAGCACACCTTCTCCACCCTCCCTAGAATTACAAGTGTATACATACCTGGGGCAGTAACACCAAGCCTGACAGTCAATGGGCTTTGGGGTGGAGTTGGGTGAAAGAATAGCACTTGATTTTCTTTAGGAACAAAGATGATAAACTCAGACCAAAATGCTCCAGAGGGCAAGCATGCATGGTGCAACAAAAGGAACTCTGGGTTGAATTATACTTTTGAAATGTACAAAAGAGAACTGAAAGAAGGCCGGGGGGGGGGGGGGGGGGGGGGAAAGCACAGACAAGCAGGATAGCTTTGAAAGTTACACCCTGAATTTAGCATAGATTTCAAAAGGAAAAGCAAGTTGTACAGAGGAAACATTTGCAGTTTCACAGGAGAACCTTTTCTGTTCTACTGTGTATATGCCAGTGCTTGTAACAGGAAGCATTCATATTTAAGCCAAGTACTTTACATATGTTATCTCATGGTAATTTTTGTACTACTTACCTTACAATTTTGGAAGGCAACCTCTTGACAAGTGTTAAAGCCCTCAAGAAATCTGAGTGATGAGGAATTATCCCTAAATCAGGTCAGTCAGCAGGGACCATGGTCTTCTTCCTGGTGGTTCATCTTGTAGATGAGTGACCATAGTCACATACATAAATACATAAATATTTACTGACTGACTGACAAGGTGAATAAGAATTTGGCACCACTAATGAACAAAATCAAGGCTTACTGATGGTGGGCCAAGGACATCACCATGGGTGGGTGGGAAGAAGATGAGGATTCATACTTCCTGAAGACCTTTTCGAATCCCATAATAATCAATCATTTGGAGGGGAGCCTGGCAGCTGAGGTGAGAGAGTGACAGTCTGCCTCAGATCAGCACAGGGTAGAAACAAATGAATGAACACATGTAGGGAAAAGCATCATGGGAGCAGAGGGCAAAACCCCAGAGTGAGCAGTGCAGGAACAAAGGAAGCCAAAGAAAGAGGGAAATTTGGCACCTGTTTTCCTCCGATCTCCGGGTCACGGCCTCTTCTCTTATCTAAAATGTCATATTCTTCTCTGCGTCCTAGGGAGAGCTCCTGAAATAAGAAAGCAAATGTCAGAGGAGCGTGGCTGATCCAGGTGAGGAGAGGAAAAGGTTCTAGAAGGAGAGGGCAATTTGGGGCCAGGCAGTCTGGGTCTGGGTCTGGGTCTGGGGTTTGGGGAAGGCAAGTAAAGTAAAAACAGATAACCAGGACCCGGGTGAAGTAAATGGCACCAGAGAAGGAGCATTCACATACTGGCTCTTAGCAGGCAGATTGGTGTGCTGTGTAAGAGGTCAGTATACTTGCCATTGAAGACTTGGATTTGAGTCTTAGCCTCTGGACCTTAGTAACGATGTGACCAAATCACTTAACCACTCTGAACCTCGCTGTTTAAAAAAATTTAAGCAATTTATTATTTAAGCTATTATTAGCAGCTCCAGAAATGTCCCATGTTTCCGATAACCTGGAGAGTGGAGGAAATGAAAGAGACCTCTGAAGGTGGAGCATCTCCCTCTGGGCAGGACTGTACCCGACTGGTCTCAGATAGGTATCCATCCTGGACTTAGGGTAAGAATCCCTGGTTTCCCCCAGTAAATCTTGAGAAATTGCTACATGGCCAATTTGCATATAATTACCACAGATTTGCATGGCTCTACCCAAAAAAAGCCATTACCGCTAGAGTGTGAAATAAAGTTCACAGGCTGTCACAGGTGCATTGAGACCCAATCCTCTGGAGGCCCTGGTAAAAGGGGGCCAATGGCCCTATCAATAGAACAGACTTCCCCGTGAACACAACAATTCACGGCCACAGAGGCCGCGGAGACCGGAAGGATCAGAATGGGAAGTGTCTCTAAAATACAGCTAGGAACCTGGGTTTGGAGCTCTTGGAGCTCAGGCACCGGACAATCAGATCTCTTTTCTCAAAAAAATCATAGACCAGCAAGAACACACTGAGGGGCCATAGTGTAGTTGGAGAAGCTCTAGACTTGGAGGCAGGAGGCAGATGTGGATTCAAATCCTGCGTGTGACACAGGAACTGTGTGACTTGGTAAGTCCATCAACCTTCCAGAGCCTCAGTTTCTCCATCTGTAAAATGCAGATAATAATACTTACACTACCCTACTTCACAGGGATGTTGTGAGTGATGCTCTGCAAAAACTTAAAACACTAAATAAATGTGAGTTATTGTTTTGGTGGTGACGCACCGGCCATGGGTGGCATTGTATAGCTAGGACACACAGCACACTGCAGTCTCTGAAGAACTGAAGTGGAGGATGAAGCAAAGGGCCCTGTAGAAGTCCATGGTGGGGGTGAGTAAGGGTGTGCTGGGAGATGTTTCAACAACTGGTTCTCCAGGAAAATAAATGTACACATGACATGCTTTTACATGTAATTGGCATTATTGATATTTCCTTCATCACTTTTTTTTTTTAAAGGCAATTGGGGTTAAGTGACTTGCCCAGGGTCACACAGCTAGTAAGTGTCAAGCGTTTGGTCTGAGGCCAGATTTGAACTCAGATCCTCCTGACTTCAGGGCTGGTGCTCTATCCACTGCGCCACCTAGCTGCCCCAGCTTGAAGACTCTTGAAGAAGACACTGGCAGTCCCATTAACTGGGGGCATAAGGATAAAGGGTCAGTGGCAAAAAGCATGAGGGCAGCAGCCAGTGTATGCTGGAGAAGTGAACCTACTGTTTTGAGAGAAAAGACTAGAGCCGCCATGTTTGTCTCCTAAGAAATCACCTGTTATGCCTGAGTGTGCTTCTGGGAGGGTCAGTGGATCTTTCTCATCGAACATGGGCGAGATCACATGCAAACAACTATATAGGGGCAGCTAGGTGGCACAGAGGATAGAGCATCGACCCTGGATTCAGGAGGAGCTGAGTTCAAATCTGGGCTCAGACAGATAACACTTACAAGCTGTGTGACCCCGGGTAAGTCACTTAACCCCATTGCCTAACCAAAACAAAAGAAAACACAGGGTGGCAATGGGTAGACTTCTCTATTGAATCTGTGCTAGGACAGAGTTGAGAGTTCTTTAGGGTAGGTGGGCATGAATGAGCTGTGATGGACATTGCTAGAGACATCACATATCAATGAGATCCAGGGTACTCTGGAGCTAACCACCATAAAATAGCATGTAAAGTAGTGATTCTTCCTGTCCCCCAAACATCTCCATCTCCATTTCCCCTCCCCCCCACCCCGGCCTCTCTCTCTTTCTCACACACACACACACACACTGACACACACACACACACACACACACACACATACACACCACACACCCACACACACACACACACACACACACACACACACACACACATCATAGATACTTACATTGTAAAGTTGATTCTGGTCCTGCTGGTAGCTGGAGACTCTGGCAGTCTTGCTGAACTAAAGAAAAAAAAAGAGAAAGGGAGAGTGTAAGAGAGAGAAAGAACAAAAATGATACTGACTTCATATGCATATGCCAAGGACTCATAGAAAATGAGGACTAGACATTTGGACTTTATGTCAACTGCTTCTAAGAAAGCGGCCCCATTCCATCTGGGTTCCAAACAAAGGTGTTCCTGGTACCTGATGACCTTTCGGTAATTTGCTACATAGGGTTCAGCAGGGTAGAAATCACCTTAGCCGAAGTTCCCAAACCATTCCAATCCCATAAGCACGTGTACCTCTATTCTGCACATCTGTTGTTCTAGATGCAAAGACCAGATTAAAAGCAGTCCCTCTGACTTCAAATCCAGCATTCTTTCCAACATAACATCAAGCATTTGATAGCATGGTGAAGGAGTTTCCACACTGAGAGTTCCCCAAACTGATGAAATCATAGGTTGGAAGAAAAAGAAGAAAAGAGACCAACCTTGGCTCTCAGGAAGAGGGCCGTGATGATGACTCCATAGACGAAGAGGATGCCATCTAGAAGGTAGCACAGTCTTGGGTCAGCCAGTCCAAAACTCTGGGCGTCTGTGGGAAGGAATTCAGACTCTGTGCTCATGTGTAATATGATGAAGTTACACTCAATGACCTCCTCCCTCCTCTCTTTCCCTCCCTCTTCACTCGCAGGCTTATTCTGGACTGCTTTCTAGGCATGATAGTTTGAAGAGAAACCCTCAACTTTCAGGGAGCCTCCCTCCATTTATATAGGAAGGTCCCTCCTGCCCCGGTCCATCCCCTACTCCAAGTCAGGCCAAAGGCAGTAAACTCCCATTTATGACCACAGCTCACATCTCTTTAGGTTTACTTATAAGGTTTTATGAAGCATTTTCTTCACAGCAGCCCAACATCATACTGAAAGAAAGTAACAGGCTAGAATTTGAATCCGTCTAACTCCAAGGTCAAGGCTCTCTCTACTGCTTCACCCTGTTTATCTGGCATGGTCAGTATCCATCAAGGAGTTTTTATTGAGCACCTGCTGAGCCTTAAGGAGTTTGCTAAATGCAGTGGCAGTATGAGTGTTGAACTGCATATGTTGACCAACTGAGAGTTCATTCATGCAGAAACATTTATTAGTTATCTGCAGTATACCAGGTTGGGGGGGAGGAGGAGGAGGAAGGCACAGAAACATATTTTTGGTTCAGCATCTGAAGTCTACGTCACTATCGGTGGAAAGGAAGTTGTTGAAGAGGCTGCCATAACCTGCTGATCATGGGACCTTCCCATATGTGTTGTCTCCCCCACCGGAATGGGATTTCCTTGAGAGCAGGGACCATCTTACTTTTCCATTTGAATCTCAAAACTTATCAAAATGAAAGCATTTAATAACTTTCATTCATTCATTCATATTCATTCATTCATTCACTTATTCATAAGAAAGGTCCCTTCCTTCAAGGCACTTGGTGAAATGATGAGATGTAAGTAATCTCACAATCTTGCAGAAGAGATAAGATATAAACACACATCATTAATACAAAAAGGAATATGTAAAGTTCATAGACTAACACTAGCTAGCCTTGTGACCATGGCCAAGACCATCTACATCTCTGAGTCTCCGTTTCCCTATTTGTAAGATAGGGATAATAATGAAACCTCCACGTCACAAAGCTGCTGTGTGGATTGTAGGATCTAGATTTGGAGTTGAAAGGAAACTTAGAGGTCATCAATTCCGCATCCCTCATTTTACAGTTGAGGAAACTGAGGGTAAAGAGGCTAAATGACTTGGCCAGGGTCACATAGCTACTAAGTATCTGAGGCAGAATTTGAACCAGGTTCTTGACTCAAAGTCCACAGCTCAGTCTACACTGATTTATAACCATGAAGTGCCATAATTGTTATCATTATCACTAACAATGATAATAATAAAATTCTTCTCAGTATTAAGTCTTGACTCAAAGTCTCACATAAAGTCTCTCATAATTCCAGTCCTGAGCTCTCTCTTTCTTGAATTTTTATGGCACTCCCATAGTTGGACAGTCAATTTAGGGTTTTGTTTTTCTCTAAGTATTCTTCGTGTGCATATTGTGTCCTATGCCTCCCTTCCATTACCACCCCCATTAGATTGTAAGCTCCATGAGAACAAGAAACCATGATTTGTATTTCTTTGTATTCCAAAAGACCTAGGTCAGTGGGGCCAGATTTGAACTCAGGTTTCCCTATCCATTATACCAGCTAACTAAAGATTACAGAATTTAGGTGGAGGGATCCTAAAGGCCTTATCTTGTCCACTCCCCTCATTTAAAGCAGGCATGGTAGAATGTGCTTGTAATCCTTGCTACCAGGGAGGCTGAGGTTAGTGGATCGCTTGAGTTTGGGAGTTCTGAGTTGCAGTAAACTCAAAGCCAATCTGGTATCCACACTAAATTGGTACTAATAAGTAAAACTGTAGGAGTAGGAAGGGCCACCAGGCTGCCTCGAGAGGGTGCAAACTGGCCCAGGTTTGAATGGAGCAGGTCAATGCTTTTGTACCAATGAGAAGTAGGATCAGGCCCATGAGCAATTGTTGTCCCTCTAGCCAGGGTGAGATAGGGGAACTCAGGCTCAGAAAAAGAAACCAAACCATATTTTAATTAAGTGTCTACTATAGGCAAGGTACTGTGCAAAGTACCAGGATAAAAACATTTTTAAAATGACATGATCTCTCCTTTCAAGAAGTTTACATTCTACTTGGGGGGGGGTGAATGTATATGACACATAAGTAAATTAAAAGATAAGGAGGAATAGAAGGAGATTTTGGCATACTGGCAAAGAGAAAGAAGATTAACAATTGAGACAGAGGAAAGAAATTGGGGAAGATGACTTAAGAGGTGGCCCCTAAACATAGCTTCGAAGAGAGAAAAAGATGGTAAGGAAGCAGAAGCCCAGAGAGATGCAGCAATTTGCCAAAAGTCACAAGGCAGTAATTAGCAGAGCCGAGATTTAGCAAACCGCTCTTACACCATGCCCCTCATCTGAAATGTTGCCTAGCACCACAATTACTGGGCTCTGCTCCGGATCATAGGTTTTGTTTTGTTTTGTTATTGTTTCCTTTCCGCCCTGCATCCCAGAAGAATTTTGGCTGTTGGTTTTTCTGTGTTTGGTCTTCTTCTCCCAAGGCCCCATCATCTTGGTATCTTTCTCCTCCATATTTTAAGTTACTGGCTCTATCTCCAGGCTTGGAGCAGGCGGGCCCTGCCTGCTGTGAATCTAGACAAGGTGCTGGCTCCCCCTAGTGGACGCTGGTACACCTGCAGGCTGCAGGTGCAATTGCCCATCCCTGCGGTGCCTCCCGGCTGCAGGAAGATGAACTAGGGCAGTGCCGGGGATTGACCTCTTGGTGAAGCTTGACAAACCGTGGCTGAGCGCTCTGCTCTGGCTGCACTCTGCCCAGCCCCCCGCCCCAAGCCACTTCGGTGTTCATTCCCTGCCTCTGAGTTTAGACGCAAGAGAGGGGAGGCGGAAGAGGCTGTGAGTCCCTTCTCTCCCCTCCTCCTCTCCTCTCTCCCTTTTCTCTCCTCTCCTCTCTCTTCTTCTTCTTCTCCTCTCATTCTTTTCTCTCTCCTCTCTTCCTCCCTGTTCTCCCTCATTCCTTTCCCTC